TAAGGGAATTTGGGCTCTGTGTCGCCTCATGTTCGTATCCCTGTTAACCAGGAAGTCATGGATTACAGCTGGAAGGTTCCTATTCACTCAACTCAACTCAAAGATGTACAATTTACAGGGGAAACATGCTTCTGTTACATTGTGTTCACTATAATTTCCAGGGGTGCCAATAATCGTGGCACATGTGTTTTTTGTTAAAGATAATTATTTCTTGATGAAGGATTTTTTTTTTCTTGTAATAAATTTATGTTAATGAAATGTTGGATTTTTCTCAATTTGTCAGTGTGACATGACGCTGCTTTACCAAAAGGTGGATTTTTCTAACCCATTTTACAAAAAGGGCGCTGCACAGTAATTTATAGTATGTGACGGAGAGTTATAATGTCGAGATACTGACGCGCGCCTGGCAGTCCCGGTCCCAAATCGACACAAGGCTGTATTTTTAAATCTTTAAACTTAATTCCACGTAACCCACGATAAACACTCAGTTTGCGTACTTAGATTTAGAGGGTCATCTTTGTTAATTTTATAGATTTTATACACAACTTTTTTCATGAATTTGATTAAATATTATTGTTTATTGCGGATATAATATAATATAATATAATATAATATAATATAATATAATATAATATAAAATAATATAATAAAACCGATTAACTACGTCCGCTGCAAAATCGACTCCAATGAAATATTTCAGACAAATTATGTTAATTTGAGTATGTCTTCTAACTAATTAAAAAATTTACAGAACATTCACATATCTGGTAACGTTCGCAACAATGACCCTTGTATTTAACAACAAATCCATCCAAATACAGCCGACTTTTCCCACTCTTTATTCAAAAACAAATAAACAAACAAATAGACAGACAAACAAACAAACAAATAAAACGGACAAGCAAATAAACCCAATAAAAAGATATGGTGTAAATGTTCATATAATCAGTAGGCCTATCAAGTACTGAACGTTTAAATTACGAAGTCTCCTGATTCAGTGAAGTGAAGTGAAGTGAAGTGAAGTGAAGTGAAGTGAAGAGAAACTTTATTGTCATTCACACCATACAACAGTACAAAGACAGATGCAGGCAGAACGAAATTGCGTTTCTCCAAGGCTCAATGTGCGGACGTAAGGGACAAGTGCACTCAAGACAACATACATACAACATGCAGACATTTCACTTTACAGAGGTAGTTAAGACAGCATGGAAACAAAAAGCAGCAAAGTACAAACAATAAATACTATTTATTTATTTAAAACAGTACAGGTGTGCCTTATATTGGGGCCAATACCAAAAGACAACCCTTTTCAATGTGGCATCAATTTCAACATTCTGTGTGTATAAAAAGCTGGTATTGTCAGTAAGTCATTCCAAGTTCATCATTCAAACAGCCATGAACACACGACGTCACTTAACGGACGAGCAGCGCCGCCTGGCCATGGTCACGCCTTCGGGTCGGTGGCAGGCGGTCAGATGTTGCTCGTGAACTTGGTGTGTCTCAAAGTGTCATCAGCAGACTTGCATCAAGACACAGAACTACTGGCAGAGTTCATGACAGACCTAGGAGTGGAGCCCCACGAGTGACAGACCGCGACTATGACCAGTACCTAAGGACCTATGCTCTCAGACACCATCATGCAACTGCTACTCAGCTGCAGGCCTGCGAGATGCGAGGGGCACTAGGGTTTCCAGACAAACCATTCGCAACCGACTCCACCGCTTTGGCTTGAATGCCAGCCGACTGTTGCAGGTGACTCGACTGACACCAAAACATCGCCGTGAACCTTTGCAGTGGGCACAAGACCATGTGACCTGGGCAATGTAGCAGTGGTCTACCGTCACTGATGAGTGTCGGGTCACCTTGCACAGAAATGATTGTCGTCAGCGTTGCTGGAGAAGGCGAGGTGAGCAATACGCTGAGGTCAACATGGTCCCCAGGGTTTGCTTTGGTGGAGGAGGTGCAACAGTCTGGGCAGGCATCACCAGTCAGCACAAAACAGATTTGGTTATTGTACATGGCTCAGTCACTGCACGTTCTCACCTCAGAGACATCATAGAACCCATCATCATCCCCCAATTCCGCCAGCACACCTCTAACTTTCTGTTCATGGATGATAATGCTCCACCACATCGTGGCAGAATTGTCACAGCTCGACTTCAGGAGGTTGGAGTGCCTCATATGGTATGGCCATCAATGTCCCCTGACCTGAACCGCATAGAGCACGTCTGGGAACAGTTGAAGCAGAGACTGGATGATCGTACCCCACCCCCAAGTGACCTGGCAGAACTGCGTGTAGCACTTGTGGAAGAGTGGAACGCATTGCCTCAGGACAACATCATGAGGCTAGTGAGGAGCATGAGACGTCGCTGTCAAGCTGTCATTGCGGCAAATGGTGGAAACACCCGCTACTGACATTGTCAATTTTTGTTATTTGGGGCTGTCCCTGTTATTGTCTAAATTTTTGGGGTAATAAATATTAAACTAATGAAAATGGTGTTTCTTCTCATACATTATTAGGGAACTTTTACTTATTTCATTAAAATTAAGAGCAAATAGGAAAAGCACTCATGTAAATAACAATATCCCTAACTTATTGTGAGTAGTATAAATGAATTGCATGGTCTTATCTTGCCTTACATGTATGGGCATGCCTTGCCATGATTTTGTTATTTATTTTGTTTAAATAGAGATTCCTGACAAGGTCAAAAAGTCTTGATGCAGTATTCAAATTTATGTGGTGCTTTTATGCATTTTTACCTTAAAAAAAGGTCTGTGCCAACCGTAACACGACAGCAAGGTTAATACAAACGTCGTGTATGTTTTGGTATCCATTTGCTTGAAGGTCTATGCATATTGACTGCGTGTAGATAAAATACAATAAAACAAAACAGACAATTTTAATTGATTCCATTTGATTTATTG